AACTACAAACCACTGCTGAGATAAATTAAAAGGACACAAGAAGATGGAAAGATATCCTATGCTCTTGGATTGGAAGAAACAACATTGTAAAAATGTCCATATTTCCCAAAGCGATATACAAATTTGATGCAATCCCCATCAAAATTCCAATGACATTTTTCTCAGAAATGGAAAGAACTATCCAGACATTTATATGGAATAACAAAAGACCACGCATAGCCACAGCAATGCTGAGCAAAAAAAATAAAGCTGGAGGCATAACACTACCTGACTTTAAACTATACTACAAAGCTAGAATAACCAAAACAGTATGGTACTCGCATAAAAACAGACACACTGATCAATGGAATAGAATAGAGAATCCAGAAATCAACCCATACACCTACAGCCATCTGATCTTTGACAAAGGCACCAAGCCTATACACTGGGGAAGAGACTGCCTCTCCAGCAAATGGTGCTTGGATAATTGGATATCCATATGTAGGAGAATGAAACTAGACCCATACCTCTCACCATATAGTTATTTGTTTTCTTGCTATTGAGTTGTTTGAGCTCCTTATATATTTTGGATATTAACCCTTAACAGATGTATTGTTTGCAGATATTTTCTCCCATTCCATAGACTGTCTCTTCACTTTGTTAAATGTTTCCTTTGCTGTGCAGAAGCTTTTGTTAGATATAATCCCATTTATTCATTTTCCCTTTTGTTGTCTGTGCTTTCAGGGTCATAGTCAAAAAAATCACTGCTTAAACCAATGTCAACAACTTTTTCCCATATCATTATTTCTAGTAGTTTTACCATTTCAGAGCTTGCATTTAAGTCCTTAATCCAGTTTGAGTTAGTTTATGTATATGGTATGAGATAAGGGTCTAATTTCATTTTCCTGCATATGGATACCCAGTTTTCTCAACACCATTTCTTAAAGAGACAATCCTTTCCCCTTTGTGTTCTTGGCATCTTCGTCAAAAATCAATCGACTGTAAATGACTGGATTTATTACTAGGCTCTTTATTCTGTTGCCTTGATCCATATGTCTGTTTTTATGCTGGTACGATGATGTTTTCATTACTATACCTTTGTAGTATATTTTGAAGTCAGGTAATGTGATGCTTCCATACTACCTGTTCTTTTTGCTCAAGATTGCTTTGGCTATTCAGGGTCTTTTGTGTTTCTATATGAGTTTTATGATTGTTTTTCTATTTCTGTGTAAAATATCATTGGAATTTTAATAGGGATTGCATTGAATCTATAGATTGCTCTGGGTAGTGTGAACATTTTAACAATATTAATTCTTTAATTTTGTGAACACAAGATATCTATCCATTTATTTGTGTCCTTTTCAATTTCTCTCATCAATATGTTATAGTTTTCAGTATACAGATTTTTCCTTGGTTAAATTTATTCCTAAGTATTTTATTTTTTAATTTTCTTGTAGCTATCACAAATGGAATTTTTAAAAATTTCTTCTTGGGATAGTTCATTATTAGTGTATAGAAATGCTACTAATTTTTGTTTATTTTACATCCTGGAAATCTACTGAATTTGTCTATTAGTTCTAACAGTTTTTTGGTGGAGTCTCTAGGGCTTTCTACATATGAGGTCATGTTAGCTACAAATAGGGACAATTTAACTTTTCTTTCCAGTGTGGATTTTATTTTTATTTATTTTATTTCTTTCTTTTACCTAATTGCTCTGGCTAGGACTTTCAGTATTATGATGAGTAGAAGTGGCAAGATCAGACACCTTTGTCTTTTTTCTCATCTTAGAGAAAAAGCTTTCAACTTTTTACTGTTCAGTATGATATTAGCTGTGGGTTTGTCATATATGGCCTTTATTGTGTTCAGGTACATTCCTTCTATACCTAAGTTAGTTTTTATCATAAAAGGATGTTGAATTTTATCAAATTCTTTTTATACATCTATTGAGATGATCATATGATTTTGTCCTTCATTCTGTTAATGTGGTGTATCACATTTATAGATTTGTGTGTGTTGAACTATCCTTGCATCCCTGGGATAAATACCATTAATCATGTGAATGGTCCTTTTAATGTGCTATTGAATTCAATTTGCTAGTATATTGTTGAGGATTTTTGCATCTATGTTCATCAGGGATATTGTCTGTAATTTTCTTTTCTTGTAGTGTATTTGTCTTGTTTAGTATCAAGGTAATACTGGCCTCATAAAATAAGTATGGAAGTATCCCCTCTTCTTCAAGTTTTTGGAAGAGTTTGTGAAGGACTGATGTTAATTCTTCTTTAAATATTTGGTGGAATTTAGTAGTGAAGCTATCAAGTCCTTGGCTTTTCTTTGTTGGGGACTTTTTATTACCAATTAAATTTTCTTACTCACTATTGGTCTGTTCAGATTTTCTGTTTCTTCATGATTCACTCTTGGAAGGTTCTATATGTCTTGGAATTTATCCATTTCTTCTAGCTTATCCAATTTGTTGGCATATAATTGTTCATAGTAGTCTCTTATGATCCTTTGTATTTCTGTGGTATCAGTTGTAATGTCTCCTTATTCATTTCTAATTTTATTTATTTGAGCTTTCTCTTATTTTTCTTCATTAACCTAGCTAAAAGTTTGTTGATTTTTTATCTTTAAAAAAAATTGCTGATTTCGTTGATGTTTCCCATTGTTACTTTATTCTTAATTTCATTTATTTCTTCTCTGATCTTAATTATTTTCTTCCTTCTATTAAGATAGGGCTTAGCTTGTTTTTCTTTTTCTAGTTCCTTGAGGTAAAACATTAGGTATTTATTTGGGATGTTTTCTCTTTTTTGATGTAGGTATTTGTTGCTATAAACTTGCCTCTTAGAACTACATTTTTAGTTTTAAGATGTTGTGTTTCCATTTCCATTTGTCTCAAGATGTTTTTATTTCCCTTTTAATAATTTCTTTGACCCATTTGTTGTTCAGGAGGATGTTGTTTTATTTCTGTGTATTTGTGAATTTTCTGAAATTCCTCCTGTTACACACTTATAGTTTCATACCTTCATGGTCAGAAAAAATACTCATTTTTTAATGCTAATGACTGTGTAGTTGCTTACAACTACTTACCTACAAAACCAGGAGCTTTTGGTTTTTTAAAGACTTAAAAATGGCATATAATTATTAGCAATGTCTGGGCTATGTTTTGAGCACCCACTGTATACCTGGTACTGTGCTGAGCTTTGAAAATTAGAGATAATGAGTTTTCTCAGGGAATTTGCAGTGGAATATAGAAGGATGTATGTAGTTAAATTTGAGCAGTGAAATATAATAATAGAAGAAGTGTATTATCTGGCAAGGTGGAGTGGGAAAAGTGCCAGCAAAGACTTAGAATATCGTCTATACTCAATACTCACACTGAGAATTGGATGGGAAATAGGTGTGCCACACAGGCAGGTGGGAGGGTTAAGTATGGTAGGAGAGAAAATTTGAGTTTGGTATGTCTGTTGTGTAGGGTTGAGGGAAGATAAAAGGAGAGCCACTGGTGGAATCATTAATTGCCCCTTTTGTGTTCTGTTATCAGCAAAATCTACAAAGAAATAGCATTGGTAACAGTAAGAGAGAACTTGGGGCTTCAAGAATGGAAAAATAGACTTTTTTAAATATTTCAAGAAAAATAATAAAGTAAGATTAATGATCAGAATCCTGCTTAAAGAAAGCATTTTAGGCATGCAAATATCCCATATATTCAGAGGTTATTTTAAAACACACACACAGTGTCATATACACATGGGAAGAAACATGATATATACACTCTGTGAGTAGAAACTAATGAAGGTGAATGATAAATTAGTTTTGGAAGGTGGAGGCTCAGCTTTTGATTTAAAAAAATTATGAGAATTTTATTTATATGAAACTCCATGCTGTTGAAAAAGTGAGTGTTCCAAGTTTTTTATAAACAGGAACAAGGTGTTCTACCCAAAAATACATGAAAAGCAAATTGAATACCTGTTTGTAAGTATTCGACTAGGAGGAAAACATCATCACTAGTTGGGTCTTTGATAGCAATATGTCTTAAAAGTCTAATAGGCTTACTCTACCCTTCCCTGGGGAGGTAAAGGAATATCCTGAGCTTAAGGGTTGTGAGACCCTGATCATCATCAAAGAACTCCAGTGACTTTTCTTTGCAGATTTTGAATAGTGAACTATCTTAAGATAGCTTTCAGCCTTTTAGAACAAACAGATTAGATATATCATTTCTTCCAATAAAATTATTTGAAAGTTCAATAAAGACAACTGTTATTTTTCTAGGACCATTTCCACTTCTATTATTATGTGAATGACTACCCAGAATTTCCAAAGAACACAGATATGTAACTAGGTTATGGCTATAATTTGTTTTGGTGTGGAAATATGTTTGTTTGTTTGTTTGTTTTCTTTTCTTACATCTTTCTCCTTACAAAACAGTAATATTCTGGATATGTAGGCAAAATATCTGTAGTCTTCTTCATAGTTCTGCCTTCATAATAATTCTTTTATGCTTTAATCTTAGTAGAATATTTAACAGCCTAATGCAAAGACATAGCTGCATTTCTTTAAGTAAGTCTATCACATCTTTGGATTATACTAAAATAAATTTAAGGGCTGTGATGCATTTGACAAAATAATCCTTTACGTAATTATTTGCCTCAATCTTCCTTTAAATGGCAAATTCACACAGTGCATTTTAAAATGTTACCCACTTTGTAGAAATTCATTCTGAAAACAAATGGAGGAATATCTATAGAGTTTACTGCATTGAGTTGTTGACTCTCCAGCCAATAATCTTTTATATTTTGTCTTGAAAGATGGCCCCTTTATTGTCAACGTCAGTTCCAGTGTACTCTTTGAAACTGGATAAAGAATATGAAGTGCGTTTGAGATCCAGACAACGAAACTCTGAAAAATATGGCGAGTTCAGTGAGGTGCTCTCTGTAACACTTCCTCAAATGATCCCATTTGCATGTGAAGAAGGTAAAAATAAAATAAAGTAAAAGATTAAAATAGCAGCTAACAAGGCTTTTGTGATAGGAAAGTTGATACATCCCCTTCACTGTTAGCATGTTGTCTACATCAAAATATATTAACATCAAAGATAAGGGTAAGAGACCTAAGCTCATTATCTATGACAGGTATTATCCATTGCACGAGCAGGAGGATCTAGTTTCCAAATTATTTAATTCAAGAAAAGTCCTGGTGTAGGTGAAAGTTTAGAGAGGGGAATATGGTGGTTATCTCTGGATAGTGGAATTTCACATGATTCTTTTCTTTATATGTTTATATATTTCTAAATTTTCTACAATGAGTTTGTTTTGAACTTATAGTCAGAAAAACAAAACGTTTTTCTAATGCCTAGAAAAGAAAGTCTGTGTCCGTATGGGTGGAAGTACAAGTGGCATCTAAGAGAAAATCTAATATTGAGTCAGTAGCATAGGTAGTGAGTGGCAGGTGCTCATTGGTTTAGAAAGTAGAGGTGTGGCTTTTACCTAGAGGAAGGCCTAATAAGTAGTGTGCTAGTCATGCTCAAAGGAGATGTGAACATCTGAAGACCTGATATAGAAGAACCACGAAAATGCTTAAAGTTTTTAAAAATGAGACCTGTGGCCGGCCCGGTGGTGCACTGGAGAGTGCACCGCTTGAGAGCGTGGAGGCGCTCCCGCCAAGGGTTCAGATCCCATGTGGAGACCAGTTCCCGCTCACTGGCTGAGCGCGGTGCGGGCGCAACACCGAGGGTTGCAATCCCATTACCGGTCAGTAAAAAAAAAGACAAAAAGGAAAAAAAAAATGAGACCTGTGAATTCACAGTAAAAGAATTAAAACTTTTAGATACAGATATAAAGAATGCTGATTAATAATGGGTACTAACAAAATAAATAAATAAAAAGTAAATAATAACAATAAAAATGATGAGTAGTAAGTGTATAATATTATCACTCTCAAATGGAAATTTGCTATAACCCATCTCCAGTGAACACAGGTTTACAGGGCCATGTGAGGAGCTGTGGTTTGTTAATGAAACAATCACAAGCTACAGAGAAATTATATTTCTGCATCTACTGTACAGGTAGAATCTCATATGCTAAATATCACTGAAATAAAAAACTCTTTAGTACTATTTTTTCTAAATTGTACTTTTTCTAAATTGATATAATACAATTCTAGTTTTAAAAGTACAATTGCCACATGCCCTTTAGTCTTAGTGTGGTGGCATTTCATTTGCTTAGCATGGATTTTTTTTTTTAACTAGCTTCTCCTTCCATGTTAAAACAAACAAAAAAAAAGAAGCTCTAGCTTTATCTTATGTTCCTGAATATGTCATTGATGTGAAATTATAGATACCACAAGATACAAAATGTCATTCTTTCCCCCACTAATTCTTTAAAATACCCATCATGTCTCCCTGGGGGAATTGAATAACTTATAAAATAAGGAAAGAATATTACTGCATAAAAGCCTATTATTAATAAAGTAACGAAGTAAATTCAACCATTTATTAAAACATGGTTAGTCTCTGCCACTTTGGTAAGAACACTGAGAACCAACTGCAAGGTAACTGCAAGGCACTTACATTCTTAAGGAGTGAAACAGAAGTTTTATATACAAATTTTCCCAAGTCTGCTACAAACTACTGTATAATAAAATCTGAAGATGGGAGCCTCAGTAGTGATCTTTCTGTCAAAAAATTTATTTGTTTCTTTACATTTTTGTATTTTATATTATATATTTATATTTGTGTATATTTAAAACTGTGAAATATATGTCCTGCATGTCTAAGAAGTTTCTGTCATGATTTATGAACAAAAACTCTGTCCTCATTTTTTTGATACATTCTCAATGTGGAGGCTAAAAAATATCACCACATTTAAACAACAAAAGAGGAACCAAGCGGGTATTATTAAGTTGGTGTGCCAATAAAGCAATACCTTTTTCCTAGAACTGAAAACTTTGATGATATTCCCTGGACACATAAGATGATTAAGGCAGTTTGTTTAATTTTTTTAAAAAGATGTGTTTTAACTGTGTGCCAATTATTTTGAAATGTTTTTCTATGTGAAAGGATTTGCAAAGTGGACAGAGTTGTTCTTAGAACAGAAAATATTCCTAAGGCATTGCAATCTGTTTCAGTAGCTATCAAGAGAAATCACTGTCTTGACTACATGAATACAAATTAGGAAATATTTTTATGTGAAAATGGGAAGTGAAATGTAAACTTGGCTTCAACTGTTCTCAATTCTGTGAGTGAAATATTCTTATGTGTTTCAGATTCCCAGTTTCCATGGTTCTTAATTATCATCTTTGGAATATTTGGGCTCACAGTGATGCTATTTGTATTCATATTTTCTAAACAGCAAAGGTAGGTGTGAAGTAGTCTTCTTTGATATGTTTTTTCAGGTTGTTTCAATTTCCATGTGTGTTTCCATTTGTCATTTGATATTTTCTTTTGCAAATTATGAGTAGAAATTTTCATTAACCCCATAAACCTTCATCTCCAGTTATACATATAACAACTATATAAAACTCAATCTGTTGTGTTCATCATAGAGAACATACAGGTTTAGATTCTAATTGGGAAGTTGTGTAGGACATTCACAGACTTAGGCTAGTGTCTATGCACACCTTGTGATATGAAACTTCCATCTAAGAGCCACCTGTTCCTTTCAAGTTCTTAACAAGTTGACCCATTCCTTCCAGTACCCCAAGGTATCACTGAGCCCATAACTAAGTCTGATGCAGACTTTATGTACAGGCAAATTTAAGTGGCAAACTAAAGCTACCTAAATAATTGAATCTAGTAAAACCTTTATAGACTTCATATGACTGTGATTTTAATTAAATTTTTGTTTCTTTTAAATTATTTGGATATTTTTGATTTTGTGTTTCACCTGCATTTGCAAACACAATTAAAATTATAATTTTGAAGATATTTCATTCGGCCTTCTCTTCGAGTCAAAATACTTGGTTCCCATTATTATTCTGCCACTGCTGTTTGATCTTGTTTTTGTCCTTTAATCTCTCTCTGCCTCCATATTCTTGTGGATAATATGAGGTGATGGGTTATATGGCCCTTAAATTTCCCTTGAGCCATGACATGCTATCATTCTATTTGTCTTCCTAAAAGAAACTCAGTACCCCCTACAGTAAATTTCTTTATACAAAATACAGAAAGATGATTGGTACAGATTGCCAGTTTCTTACATTTTGGGTATTTTTAAAGTCCTGTGGGTTAATCTTGCTCCTTCTTCTAGAATTGGGGTAACACTCCCAGGTTTCCTGGAACTCTCCTGGTTTTAGTACTGAAAATCCTGTGCCCCAGGAAATCCCTCAGTTCCAGGCAACCGAGATGATTGGTCACTCTACTTAGAATTGAAAACAAGTTCTCCAGTTGAAGCTAAATGGCATCTAAAATCAAAATGGGATCTATGTGGATGTATTGAAAAAGCTTTTGTTTTTTAAGGTAGTATATAGCATTTGTAAACTTCAAAATATAAATGTATTAGAAAGATGAATTCTTGGAATGCTAGAGTTCTAAGGTGTCAAGCATGCTAAATGTCTCCAACTGAATGCAGAAAGAGTTATTTTTGGTTAGGGTTTCATGTCCAATTTTATAATGTACTCCACCAAGAAAGCAAAATTCACCCTGTAGAATTTCATTTTTTACCTAACTTTCTAGCAACATTTCTACTTTACCAAAATAACTACAGTATTATAAATCAGGACAACACAGTTTTCAATTATTTGGGGGAAAATAATTAAATAAATGTATTTTTAGGATTTTAATTAATTTATGTATTTAAGTAATGCCAACAACAAAAAAGCCAAATTATTCTGTTATTAATTTGAGTTCATTGATCTGTATAGTTGGTGGGCTAATTTATAATATAACTGCAGTAGATAAGTTCACTATGTATATAAAGTAATTCACTCTTAACATTAGCTGTCAATTTTGTGTCATTGTGAAGGCCAAGTAAATTTGTTACATTGTTTAATTATATTAGCTAACAATATTTAGAAAAAAAATCATCCTCTCCACAAATAAGGTTTCAAAGAAAATATCTTAACCTTTATCTAAAAGAGTGTTTTCTGTGAATAATGAAATTCTTAATTATAATGCTGGATCAAAATTATCAAATTGAAACATTGATTTGAAATCTTTATTATACTCCCAAATTTACTAAATTTAGTTTTTTGTAGAAAAGAGTTAATTTTTTTCTTTCATTTGCCCATAAAACATTTATTACCTAAATTCACATGTTCTATTAAAGAAGGAAATAGTAGAAAATAGTTGTCAGCAGGTATAGAAAGAATGTGTCATTCCAGCAATTAAATTGATACTCCAAAGAATGAAGTGTTTATGTCAGTCTTTCCCTGAAACCTAGAGTTGAAAACGGCTTCATGTCCTACATATCTTTGAAGTTTTGAGTCTACAATTCATTATCCAAGCCACTTCACTCTGTCTTAACCCAGATAATTAAGTCAACTCTAGCAAAATTTATAGTGTATTTTGTATTTAAATAAAATGATAGCAAAGTCACAAACATAGTTTCAAGCCAGGTAATCTTTACTCTCTACTCCTTCCCATGATATGACCCACCCAGACTTTGAGCTGTTACTAATTGAGGAAAGGCATAATTGAATCAGCATAAAAACAGAAGTTGCAAACTGACAGCCAAATTCAGACTGAAGATCCATGTTTATTTTATTTTATTTTGTTTTAATTTTGGAGTAATGAAATAGAGTTTTCACATAAAAAAAAATACAGATTTCTGGGTTATCTTTAAAAACTGAAAGATCTAGTGAAAATGGACTGATATTCCTGCCTGGCAGCATGTACTGACATGGAAATCCAGCTGTCCCATTTGGGAAGGGTATACATTCTCCACTTTGCCACCTTCCTCATTCTACCTAATGATATTGCAACTGGCCTGCTTCATTCATTTGCATGACCTGTGGTTTGGACACTTAATGTTTTAGGGACTGCCATTGTGGCATAAGGTCACCACAAATCCTAGAAAACCACTAACATGCCTATATGCATTATCTTCTTCAGAAAGGAGAGCCACACATCACAAAGTCAAACATTAGCCACTGGGGAATTTTTGCTTCCTGTAATTAGAGTTATGTCACATCTCTTTACATTTTGGGGAATTTGAAATGTCCATTTGGAGATGCAGATCCAAATAACACATCAGCATGAGAGGCAAAGAGCCTGGGTTTTGGAGTCAAGTACTCTGAGTTTGAGCCCCAGCTGTGCCAACTATTAGTGCATGATTCAAACATGTTGTCTAATTCTCCAAATCTTTGCACAAATGTAGTTGTGTCTCCCTGGTAGTTGTAAGGATTCAGAGAAATGGTTATTGCAGGGGTCAACAAACTTGTCTTATAAAGATTCAGATAGTACATTTTTAGCCTTTTTGAGCCTTACTGCCTGTCACCACTACTCAACTGCCACTGTGGCATGAAAGCAGCCATAGACAATCAATATACAAATGAGTGAATGTGGTTATATCCCAATAAAACTTCACCTACAAAAACAGGTAGCGGGCCAGATTTGGCCTGCAGGCCATAATTTGCCAACCCATAGTTTAATGCACGGTGTCTGGTTTATCAGAAGCATCAGAAAATGATAGCAGTTATTTATTTCTATATTGGCTGTTAATCAGTAACAATAAGTTTTAATATATGCCCCACTGAGTAAGCATAGTGGAGGCTACTCAAAACAACTTACAAAATGCAGTTTGGCTTATTCCTTGGATTAGGTAAAATGGCAGGTGGGATATATTCAGAAAATGTGTTTCTAATTAAATAGACTATCCACTCACACTGAGAGGAACATCCAAAAATCAGGTTACCACCCCTGCCCGACAGTGGCATCTCTGAACATTTAAGAGTATATTTAACAATAAAATGAGTTGGTTGCAATGGATAATCTTTGAGCTACAGTGTTTAAGACATAAACTTCAGTTACACTATTAACAAAATATATAAATGATTTATTCAAATTTATTCAATAAATGTTTATTGAGTTTCTTCCATGTGCCAGCAATTGTGCTAAGTGCTGGAGATTCAACAAGGCACAAGACAGGCAGGATAGACACTGAAATGAATTAGGATCAAAAAATAATTTAAATATTTGGAACAGAAACTGTAAGTGCATCACAGAATTGTGTATATAAATCCATACTGATTAGTTAGAGATAGTTCAAATTTAGTCTGTACCATCTGAAATGAACCCCTGCAGTAACACCATGGTTTATAAAATTATCTTAGATAATTTTATAATTAATATGAACTGTGTGATGCTAACTTATCCCAGTGCACCCTTTTTCAAGGATGCAGATAATTTTGGCTCCGTATGGCTTGGCTCTTTTTCTTTTCTCTGCAAATTACTGATGAGATGTACATTAAGATTACCTTACTTATAACTAACATGGAAATTGGCTTCAGACGGAATTAAATTTCTCACTCTCAAATACTAAATTTGAATGTCAATTAAAAGAGCATTAAAGAAAAAAGATTATAGGAAAACCACATTTTATTTAAATAGGCTATAGATGAGGGCTTTTTTTTTGTTTTGGGGTTTTTTTCTTTCTTCTAGAGTTTTTCTTTATTATCTCTGAAATTAGAGAATGTATAACTTTTAAGATACATCAAACCAAATTTTATTTGTTTTCAAGGATTAAGATGCTGATTTTGCCCCCAGTTCCAGTTCCAAAGATTAAAGGAATTGATCCAGATCTCCTCAAGGTAATTAACAAATCTATCTAAACTGTAGATAGCACTAATTAAGTGACATCTAAAAAATACTGTCACAGGTGGAGAGTTTTTTGCAAGCTATATGTATTACATTTGATTTTTTTGTACCCTATCTTCTGGAGAAGATTTTTTTTAATTATGAAAAATGTTTTAATTATGAAAATTTCATAGGTATTTAAAAGTTCTGCATTAATTTATTTTTTGTTGTTACATGTTTTTGTTACTATTGTTTTTATTTGTAACCATCATTAGTCTTGGAAAGTTATTTGCTAAAGTACTTAATTATTTTGAGTTTCTTTTCATAGATCTTTATTTTCTTTGTTTCCTAGGAAGGAAAATTAGAGGAAGTGAACACAATCTTAGCCATTCATGATAACTATAAACCTGAATTCCACAACGATGACTCTTGGGTTGAATTTATTGAGCTAGATATTGATGACCCTGATGAAAAGCCTGAAGGATCAGATACAGACAGACTTCTAAGCAATGACCATCAGAAATCACTTAATATCCTTGGGGCAAAGGACGATGACTCTGGTCGTACCAGCTGTTATGAACCTGACATTCTGGAGACTGATTTCAATGTCAGTGACATATGTGACGGTACCGCAGAGGTTGCTCGGCCACAGAGGTTAAAAGGGGAAGCAGATCTCTTGTGCCTTGACCAGAAGAATAAAAATAACTCACGTTCTCATGATGCTTCCGCTGCTACTCATCAGCCTAGTGTTATCCTAGCAATGGAAAGCAAACCACAACCATTTCTCACTGATGGAACTGAGTCAACTCATCACACTGCCCATGCCCAGCCAAGCAATCCAAGTTCACTGGCAAACATGGACTTTTATGCCCAAGTAAGTGACATCACACCAGCAGGGAGTGTGGTCCTTTCCCCGGGCCAAAAGAATAAGGCAGGGATATCCCAGTGCAACATGCATCCAGAAGTGGTCTCACTCTGCCAAGCAAAATTCATCATGGACAACGCCTACTTCTGCGAGGCAGATGCCAAAAAGTGCATCACTGTGGCTCCTCACATGGAAGTTGAATCACATGTAGAGCCAAGCTTTAAGCAGGAGGACATTTACATCACCACGGAAAGCCTTACCACTACTGCTGGGAGGGCTGGGACAGCAGAGCACGTTCTGAGTTCTGAGATGCCTGTCCCAGACTACACCTCTATTCATATAGTACAATCTCCACAGGGCCTGGTACTCAACGCAACTGCCTTACCCTTGCCTTTGCCTGACAAAGAGTTTCTGTCATCATGTGGCTATGTGAGCACAGACCACCTGAACAAAATCATGCCGTAGCCTTTCTTTGATTTCCCAAGAGCTACATATTTAATGGCAAAGAATTAGCTGGGGCATGAATGCTTAAACCAAAACAATGTCTAAACTTTTTGGGGGTGGGAGTGGGGATTGGAGGGTGGGGTGAGGATTCTAAATGCCTTTTCCTGAAATGTTGAAACATGATATTAAGAAGAAAAAATGAGAAGAATGTTTAATCAGATAGAAATTCCTGTTGTGAATTGTAAATATTTTTAAAGAATTGTCTCAAAGACTATTTAGTGGCAGTGATTGTCTTGTTATTGTGGGTGTTAATTTTGTGACAGTAAGCTTTGAATGGCTATGTTTTTAATGTATAGTAAATCATGCTTTTTGAAAAAGCAAAAAATCAGGTGGATTTGCAGTTCAGGAAAATTGAATGCAAATCATAGCACAGGCTAACTTTTTTCTTTTTTAAATAATTGGGAACTAAAACTATAGGTAAGAAGGCAAAAATACTTTGGATATATAAAACATTTATTTTGACATAAAATTGATAAAGATATTTTTAATAATGTAGACTTCAAGCATGGCTATTTTATATTACACTACACACTGTGTACTGTAGTTCATGATGACCCATATGAGGAATGCAGCAACTACAGTCTAAAACTGGTTTAATGCTTTGACCAATGTACCTAAAGAAAAACAAACAAGTTAGTTTTTTACAGTCCCTTTTTATACCTCTCCAAACTCCTTAAACAATTCTAAAATGATTGTAGTAAACTACATTATTGGAACTTACTCATTTTACCCGAAATTTTAAACAGATATTTGTTAATTTAGAAAACTTTAAAATGTTTGCACAAATCAGCTTACCATGAGCAAAAAAAAAAAAAAAAAACCCTTTCTTTACCAAATTTTGGTTCATGCCAGATAGCTACATGCTAACGGATGTGGAAATAACAGCTGGTTCATACTGACCAGCATGCTAAAGTGCTGCAGTTGCAGGAGTGAGTTCTTTAGTGCACACAGATCATGAGAGATAAGCTATATAACCTCCGCAGCAGTATCTCTTCAAATACATCTTGGTTTTAGTTACCAAAGAGAGGAATAAGGTACAAGAAGTATTTTGTAAATTAAAGCAGATTGAATGAAATTAACCAGATAAAAGGAACAAAAAGTTCAAGAAATAGTTTTTTCTTTCGCAGCTAAAAGCCAGACACCGACTCATTATTTATGGTAACAGGGACAAANAAAAAAAAAAAAAAAAACCCTTTCTTTACCAAATTTTGGTTCATGCCAGATAGCTACATGCTAACGGATGTGGAAATAACAGCTGGTTCATATTGACCAGCATGCTAAAGTGCTGCAGTTGCAGGAGTGAGTTCTTTAGTGCACACAGATCATGAGAGATAAGCTATATAACCTCCGCAGCAGTATCTCTTCAAATACATCTTGGTTTTAGTTACCAAAGAGAGGAATAAGGTACAAGAAGTATTTTGTAAATTAAAGCAGATTGAATGAAATTAACCAGATAAAAGGAACAAAAAGTTCAAGAAATAGTTTTTTCTTTCACAGCTAAAAGCCAGACACCGACTCATTATTTATGGTAACAGGGACAAAAGAAATAAGGTTTCAATCCCCACAGGTAGTACTCAAAATTACTTAAGCCAATAGCAGAAACTTTCTTTCCCACTAAATCTTTTATAGAATTTATTTAAAATGTTAAAGGAAGTTTCATCATTTTTTATTTCCCCTATGAGTAGATTGGCCTCAAAGTAGGTAGTAGGTAGTAGGTAGTCAGAAGAAAAAGAAGAGACCTGAGTAATTTATAAATTATTTTTCAATCCCTTAATAACCTAAGTGTTATTCTTAGGAGCTTTGGGATAGCTCCCTAAAAAGTTTATGAAAGAGAAAAATCTCATCTCACTGAAGAATACTTCTCATTTTAAGTATTTTAAGCTTAAAACTTTAAAGTTAGCTTTAACTTAAACAGTATTTGCCATTTAGCTCAGACCTTTGTAGGAAGCAAGCTTAACGGTTGGTAATGTTAAATTCTCTCTTTCTTGCAGGAAGGACAATAAAAAGCTAGAATTGGGTGTTTCAAGTACAACATGTTACTTTGTAATAGATGTTTAATAGATTTTCTGCTACTTTGCTGCTATGGTTTTCTCCAAGAGCTACATAATTTAGTTTCATATAAAATATCATCAGTGTAGAACCTAATTCAACTTAAAACTGTGTGTTCGGAAGATCTTACTATTTCACAATAGGCTGACAACATTTCTATAGCCAAAAAAATAGCTAAATACCTCAAATCAGTCTCAGAATGTCATTTTGGTACTTTGCTGGCCACACAAGCCATTATTCACTAGTATGACTGGTTGTGTCCTGGAGTTTATATTTAACTTTCTTTATGTCTGTGGATTTTTTCCTTCAAAGTTTAATAAATTTATTTTCTTGGATTTCTGATGGTGTGCTTCTATTGTCAAACACCCACATGAAAAGCATGCTAAACCAGACTGTACACTGTGAGTTTTCCACATTGTAAGGGGAGATTAGCACAATTGCTAAGGGGAGCTTAAGCACACCAGCAATGGTGTGGAGCTGTGTGTTACGTGCTGCAATATACAGAGATAGAGGAGACAGCTCAAAAATGTCCTGCTGGCTTGTCTGCACTGTGGCCTCTCCTGAGGCTGCAACTCCCCATGAACGGGGCTCAGACAGCCATGTTTTAGATGTGTCCTAGAAGTCGAGTGACAAGGGTATGGATCAAGTAGGGGAAAGGAGAAAGTGGTGCTTCAGCATTGTCTTTAGCCTTCATTTCTAGCTTGAGCATGTTGCCTGGATAGCGGAAAAGCAGATCTCCTCTACCATTCATGCAGTGGCACAACTCAGTTTGTCAGACTAGCTAATTGTCCTCATGGGAAGCTGATAATATGTCAGGCCTGGGAGGGAGGCCAGTGGGGTAGGTTGTGTAGGAGCTTGAGCAAGCAGTAAAACCAGCAAGCACAGATCCCTATGCCAGGAGGCAGGTGCCAGGCAGTAGCTACCGAATCACAGGCTCTTGTGCAGACACTGGGTCCTGAGATGTGGGCGTCTGGGGATGACATTGATAAGCCCACTGAACAATTATTTATTGTTTCAGCAAGCCAAATGCAAACTGCCCCACTTTTCATAATACTCAAGAGTTACATTCATTACAGAAAAGGAAAAAAAAAAGTCCCCACCTGCTGTCTTCAGCCCTTTAGGCAGCCATTACCCTAGAAAAACCATGGAGTGAAGCCTCAGGGCTTCTTTATTTGGAAACATGATTTGGAAAATTATATCCCTTCTTTCACCAGGATATTGGAACATATACTGCCCTACATTCTTCTGAGTAGACTGGGACTAAGTGTGATCTGTGGTCATCTGATGAATGTTTGGTTGAGCCTAAGAAGA